TTAATTGCTACTTTATAGTAGTCTGTAGCAGAGTAAGAAGAATAAAATAATGAGATCTAAAAATATGAAGGTAGTTAAGTTTAGTAAAAGATATTCTGTAAATTTAGTAAGTAGATTTTTAAAAATAGATATATAGGCATATTGAGAAATAATAAGTTTGGAAGCTAGTTTTGGGTTAAATTTTTGAAGGAATTAGGTAAAGAATTCTGGTTTTTCTAAGGCTATGAATTTAAGTAAGAGATTGAAGCTTTGTTTATAAGAAGGCTTGAAGAATTTATCTTTGTCAGAAGTTAGAATAGGTTGGCCTAAAGTGAATTTACAAAGATAAGTTTTGGTAAATTTAAAAAGTTGTTGTCAAGTAAAGTGTCAAGTTTGGTATTTTGTTCTATTTCTTGAGTAATTGGGTAGTTTGCAAACCAATCTAGATCTTGAGAAGTATCTTTGAGTTTGTTTGTTTGCATGAGTTTTGTTTTATTTCTTTAGTTCTATTAGTAAGTCTTTGAAAAAGGTTAATTTTGTTATTTTTGATAAGTTGATGGAAGTAGTAAAGTAAAAGAAAAAATATTGTTCATATATAAAGGATTTAGTAAGAGGAGTAGGCTTAAGTTTGGCATATTGAAGATTGTAAGCACAATTATAATAGATTAAAAGGCCTTTAAAGATTATAGCTTTGGCATAATCAAATGTGTGATTTGTTTTTATAAAAACACAAAAAATGTTTTTAATTTTACAAATTCTGCATATATAATAGTGTTGGAAGTAAGTGTTTATTGCAATAGATTTGAGGTCTATATAAAGGGTAAAAAGTAAAATTTGAAAGTTAATTGAAATTTCTATTGTTGCTTAGAAATAGGTAATTTGGTAAAATTTCTGTAATTGCATCAAATTATTTTTTGAGATAATTGTATTTGGAGAGATTTTCATTGTAGAATTGTTTAGGTGGTGTAGTGTAAAGGATCCTTCAACTCAGTGCTAGCTAATAAAAAGAAGATATGGTTTTAAAAAAACTTCTATAGTAAAGATTTCTAACTACACTTGTGCTACAGAGTACCCAATATGACATTACACCTTCTATTCCCTATTTAATACTATTATTAATTTAAATGAATAAAGTAATTCTAGTTAGGATAGGTTGAAAAAAACTTTAAGGTGTTAATCATGATATTATAAAAAGCATGTTGTTAGAGAGAAGCCTTGTAGATACTATTTTTCAATGGCATTATATGAATCTATTAATTGTAGATAAGGTCTATGTAAATTTATTTAGTTAGTGAATAAAGATGAAGAGAATTTAATATACTTGGTTTTGGGTGTAATATTTTGGCTATTTCCTATTTATGTTAAAAGGAATTGCGTTTGAACCATATTTCATAGTAAAACCAGTATAGAAGATTGTTGGAAAGATTAATAAGTATAGGTTCTGTTTGTTTTTTAATTAATATTTTAGTAATTTGATATATTGTTTTGGAATATATTCCAAGAATAGTAGGGATAAGAGAGTTGTATTGTGTGTTTAAAGAGTTGTTTGCAGATTATAAAAGAATATTAAGAAATGTAGTTGGTTAAATAGATGTAATTTGAAATTGTTGAAGTGTATTAGTAGTTATATTGATAAGTAATTTTTGAATTTTTTTAGTATTTTTGGGGCACAAAAGTATATGAAGGAAGTCTTTAGTTGAGGGGCATTTATAGCATTTATTTGTTGTATATAGATTTGGATAGTGAATATTAGGATTTTGCATTGTTGAAAGATTATTTGTTAGGATTTTAATATAAAAGAAATATTTTTGGGAGTTATATTCTAGAGAGTTAAGTAATTTGAAGGTCAAGTTCCAGTTTATATCTGATGTATAGTTGTTGAAAAGTTTGAGAGATGACCAGGATATAAATTCTTGAATTGTGATAATATTTTTAATAAAAGAATGTGCTTTGAATATAATAATATGATTGTTCCAAGAAAAGTAAGTAGGCAGATTAAAGTATGTATAAGAGAAGGTTTGGTAGAGCCTTGTTTGGCCAACTGGTCAACTCGATTGTGAAGAGAATTGGTTGAGTGTGATTTAACTTTAATAAGATTAATAAGGATATTTCCACATATGCACAAATATGCGCATCACATTTTTCTGTCCACTCTAGCCAGGTCCCAAACCTGGACTTTTAGGGACTAGTGGGATTAGTTGAAAACTAGCCCTATCGCTATAATTCAAGGTCATTTAATTTACTAATTTATGTCGATCTAAATGCAATTATAATACTGGAACAAATTCAATACAATCCATGTAATTACAATTAAAACACAATACTCGTTCACTATTGTTCTGTACATTTAAAACACTAGAGTAGGACCAGTTTTTATCTATTTTTTAACTACTATATACGATGGGCCAAACCACCCCTTGTCGGATTATACAGATATTTTTATGGTGCATATCGGATCACAGAACAATTGTCTTTACCGATACATACGTACATATGTATGTACATCAACAATTGCCGTTAACATTAGTTCAACAATTACTATTTAACAACGAATAACAAACTTATATTAACGATCATAAATTTTTATTAGAATAAAGTTTGTTACTGGTATTTCACTATAAAGAAAATGTAGTTTTGTACTTTTTTTCTTAGTGTAATTTTTATTTTTTATAAATATAATAAGAGATCTGCAAAAACAAACAGATCTCTTTTTGTAGCTATTGTAATTGTAATTAAGAGATTCGCAGAAAACAAATAGATCTTTCTTTGTAAAAAATTTTTTTAATTGTAATAAAAGAGATTTATAAAAACAAACAGATATCTTTTTGTAATTGTAATAGAAGAGAATCAGTATCTTTAAAGTTCATGATAGCAAATGTTTATTGTTACTTTATTACCAACATAGTATCTTTAACAAATGTAACTTTCAAATATATATATGATGTAAAAATCAGTTTAAAAAAAAAAAAAAAGACTACCTTTACTAATAAAAGTATCTCAAAAGCGCGTATATCAAAAAAACTAAAAAGAAAGTGGAATGCTTGTGAAAAGTTAAATGTTATTACTTACTATAAACAAAATAAGGCAGAACTAAGTATTAAAGAAGCATGTAAAAATTTTAATATTCAACCGAATCAGTTAAGTGACTAGATGAATAAAAAAGATGAATTAATTAAGGCTTCACCAAAAAAATTCAAGTTATATAACGGACACTCACCTCATCATCCACAAATAGAAGAAATTTTATTTAATTGGATTATGAATCAAGCCAATTACACAATTCTGTTACTAGAGAAATGATAACTGCAAAGGCAGTTTTACTTACCCAAGCTGAAGAGTTTTAAAATCAACTAAATCTTCAATCATTTCAATTTTTGAGTAATTGGCTTAACAGTTTCTTGGATCGGTATAACTTATTAGTTCGTCATCGAACAACCATTGCGCAGAAACTCCCTAAAGATTTAGAAGAAAAACAATAAAATTTTCTTAATTATGTTTTAAATCTACGAATTCGATACAATTACCCTTTATATTTAATAGGAAATATGGACGAAACTCCCCTCACGTTTGATTCACCAAACCCATCAAAATCGAAACTCGAGGAACCCACACTATTAGTATTCGAACTACTGGCTATGAAAAAAAAAAGTTTACTGTCATTCTTGCGTGCTTAGCTGATGGAACGAAATTACCTCCCATATGCATTTTTAAAAGAAAAACTTTACTACAAGAGAATTTCTCTCATAATGTTTTTGTTCGAGTAAATCCTAAAGGTTGGAGTAATGAAAATGAAATACTGTGGTAGATCGAAAATGTGTGGTCTACAAAAGCATCTGACAATCCATGCTCTCTTTTAATACTTGACTCCTTCCGTGCGCATCTAATAGATTCAGTTAAACAAAGTTTGCTTATAAATAATACAAATATGGCTGTGATTCCTGGTGGGCTTACATCTAAATTGCAACCATTGGACGTCAGTATTAATAAAAGCTTTAAATCAAAAGTCTATGCACTTTATAATCGTTGGATGTCAGAAACAATCCATGAATTAACTCACTCGGGACATATTAGGCGACCATCATATTCACTACTTGCCTCGTGGGTAGAGGTTGCCTGGGATTCACTTGATCCAAATTTAATTAAACATTTGTTTGCTTGCTATAATATTTGATTTTTCTTATCTAAGTTTTTTTTTAGATTTTTTTTTTTTTTTGTAACGGTTATCAGTATTGTAATACAAAAATAAACTATCATATGTACCATTTAAATATCCGCATGACCGATAATTATTTTATAACAGGGGTGGTTTGGCCCATCGTATACGGTATTTTTTAACAAGGGTGAACTCATTTTCAACTAGTCCTGGACCAGGCTTCTGGGAGAACGGACCAGGACTGAACCAGACGCACCATTTAACATCTCTAAAGGTTTTGGTACCTTCTTTTTTTTAGATCGACCTTAAAATATTAATTATGCATCAATATTTTAGACTTTTAATTAAAAATCCTGATACCCGATATGGATTACACATTAATTAGATCACTACGTACCCAATCACTAGTCACATAGTATCGCGTGAAATTTTTTCGTTCAAATTATGAAGTGCCTCCTCAATACAATAATATTTTATTTTAATATTTGCATAAAAATCAAAGAAAAATAGAAGCAAAAAATGAAAATACCTCAAATGAATTGTCAAAATGTCGAAAGAAAAAGTATTAACACTATTAAAGCAGCGAATGAAAAACAAAGAAAAAAAACCATTACTAAAAAGAACACGAAAGAACTACTTCTAAAGAGACAAATAAGTGAGATAAAAATTGATTTAATTTAAAAAGAACAAACTTGGAATTAAATCTATCAAATACGTATATTCGAAAAATAATTAAATACAATATAAATTGATTCATAATTTGTATATAAAAGAAAAAATCATTGTCTTTATCGAAAATAGACTGTAAATCCTTAATTTGATTATTGAATTTGACAGCAATTGCTACGGATAAAAGGAATAAAACAAACTACATAAAAACTAAAATAAAAGTACCGAACTTTGAAACTTTTTTTTGTGGTTGTGCTCGCCAAAGTACAATATATGTAAAAGCTATTTCTTGATGTGAATAATTTTTATCATAATCATAACTAAAATCTTTATGATTTTGGTTGATTATTTCTTTGTTTTTATGTTCAATTACGTTTTCATTTATGTTTTTATTTATGTTGAGCTGGCGAAAAACATTAACTAATTGTTGGTAGTATAAGCCACGTTGAAGCTCATTAATATGATACTGGAGTTGAAAATTATTTTGAAAATAATTATTTTCAAGAGGATTATTTTGAAGTCTGTTACGTAAATAGCTATTCCTAAATTCCGATCCTTCTGTTTCAAATAAAGACATTTTTTATACTAATATAAAGTTTCTCAAGTGAAGAATTCAAAGTATTTGTGAACAGTATTTATATATTAATGGCAAAAAAAAAAAGCCAAGTGAAAAGAGCATATATTTAAATATAAAATTTCTTACCAATTTTGAATTGTTTAATTGTTTAAATACCAATCTTGAAGTTTTATTATCAATCAGATATCTAGTTTGATTATTACTTTAAAATCATCTAACAATTAGAAGGACAACAAAAATATAGAACAATTAAACAATAATCTACAATAGAACTAGCACGAGCAACAAACATCACGAGAAAAGTATACGTCCATTAATTATAGTAACTTTTTTGACATTTCAAAATTAGTATTTAACAATTACTTTAGATAACAATAAGAATTAGAGTAACAGGATTCTGCAGTGCATAAATTTGCTCACTCTAAAAATACAGTATTGTCTCTAAAAATATTTTTGGCTATTTTCTTTGTAAGAAAAAAACAAAAACATGATCTTAATCATTTTTTATAATCAAATACAATACAAGAAAATATACACTGTGATTGTTTAATTGTTGGATGCTTTAAAGTAATCAAAAATGTTTCACACAATTCTGAAATAAATTAGATTATCATTCTCGCTTAAGAAATTTTATATTTTCATACATGGCTTGTCTCTAATATATAAATATAGTTCAAATACTTTGATTTGTTTTCATTTTGAAAACTTAAAGATAAGGAATTAAATAACATCTCATATGCAATTTCACTATTCATTTTTGTGTATAAAAGTTTCTGTTTATTGTTATTGGCATCGGCACTTTTTCTTTAAATATCACTAAACGTTTTGAGCCAATTTGATGAATTTTTTTTTATATATTCGTGAAATTCTATTGAACTTAATACTTAATAGGTACTGTACATACTAGCTGTACGTTAAGTCTCAAACTACTACGTTAGTGTAATATCAGATTTTAGACCTTTCTCCATAATGATAATAATGTATCACAGATTTGCGAATACAAATTAATGATAAATTGTACAGTGATAGACTTTCTCTCTTAGAAATGAATATGCCAAAAAATTAATATTAATGTTATTGGTGCTGGTGTAATAGGTCTTACCACAGCTTTAATTCTACAAAGAAATGGGTTTCTGGTGGAAATTCTATCTGAATATTGGCCTGGCGATTTAAATATTAATTATTCAAATCCTTGTGCAGCGGCAGCCTGGAGAGCTAGTCTTTATATCGAAGATGAAAGGGTTCATGGTAAATTTAATAGCTATAGTAATAAGTATTATTTAATATTCAATGAAGTAACAATTATATTATTAAATAGAGTATGAAAAAATTTTGTGGAATAAATTTTGGACCTTATCTGAGAACCCAGAAACTGGATTAATGTGTGTACAAATTTATGACTTTATGGATAAAAAACCTGATTTTGGAAGTGATATTTGGTTTAAAGATTTTGTACCAGAGGTATTATTATAATTATAATTAAGATCGTAAATTATCTTCAAATTACCTCTAAAATACTTTATTTATATAGTTCAGAGTGATACCTCTAGAAGAACTGACATCTGGTGTCGAATATGGAGTGTCTTATGTAACAGGTTCACAATTAATCTATATTCAAATTTCTGCATTTATGCAAATAACACATTTTGAATGTTTATTAATAATAGTTAGTTTAAATGTTCAAAAATATCAACAATGGTTACTTGACCAATTCATCGCTAGTGGCGGAAAAAGAAAAAAAGTTCATCTTAATGAATCATTTTTTAATGATGACGAAATTGATATGGTAGTAAATTGCACAGGGGTCAATGCTAGAACTTTTAGTGGTGTGATGGATAACACAGTGCTTCCTTCACGTGGCCAAACTATTTCAGTTTGGGCACCACATATTAAAACAGTACATATCCTAACTAGTAAGTGCTATCTTATCGAAAATACTTAAACTATAGAAAGCCATTAACTTTATTAAATTTGGTAAGATCAAAATTCTTTTACATTTGTTGTTCCAAGAAGAGGCAGAGAGGTTATTCTTGGAGGAACTATGAAAATGAACGATTAGTAATTCATTGTTATTTAATTTTCTATTATTATACATGCTTTTGTTCTATTATGAGTTAATCTGTTACTATCCAAAGTAGTTCTGAAAACCTGGATCCGAAAACTGCTTAAGATATCATTCAACGATGTATCAAATTATGCCCCAAACTAACACTAGAAGATAAAAGTTTACAAATTATAAGACATAATGTCGGGCGAAGACCTTATAGAAAAAATGGTATTCGAGTAGAAGTTGAGATCACAAAGAATGCTACATATAAAGATGTCATAATTTGTCATAACTATGGACACCACTTTTACGGTAATGCATTTAAAAATACAAAAGAGTATGCATATAATATTTATTAATTATATATATATATATATATTTAAATAGGATATTCTTCAAGTTGGGATTCATGTTTAGAAGCTTTTAAACTTATTGAAGAAAATATTCAAAGAAATATATAGATCATCGAATTTCCGATTATAAATGCATCTTGTCATTTTAAAATAAAGGGCTATTTTACCGTAACTACAATATTTTAGGAAACAAACAAGTTTAATTGACATAAAACGTATTACACAGTATGTTTGTATTTCCTATTAGAGTCAGTGACATTTTTATAAATTTTTAAGTTTCATTATTTTCATATACTATTTCAGCGAATTTATGATTAGTTATAGTATAAAAAAGTAAAATATTACATCTAGAATAATTATTATCTTACAATTCAAAACGTCCAAATTCGGCAGTTCAATGCAAAGTTGTCTTGAATCTAATGAATAAATTTGCTTATTAATAACACTTTTAAATAGAACCATTAATCTGAAATCACGCTTACCGAGTATATCAGAACTCATATTCGTTAATGTTGAAAAATTCAAAAGTCGGCTGGTATAAAATGCTTGTGAATCGAATACAACTTTATTAGGATCATATCTAGATAATTCCTTGTTAATCTCTTGAATTTGTTTATATAATTCAGATGATTTATCAATAAAACAACCCACTTTTCAGTCTTCCATTGATTGAAAATATTTAAAAGCTCTTGGGAAGTTGGTCTGCTGTCAGGATCTGCATTCCAACATCTTTCTAAAACATCTATAAGTAGTTTGGGAATGTTACAATAAATTTTGGGGTGAAGGCCTGCTGAAATTTGTACTGCAAGATATGCATTATGCAGGATATCGTGATATGGTAGGTATCTGGTTAAAATTTCTGACATTATAATGCCAAGTGAGTATATATCCGATGATTTGGTATATTCTTGACCTGTTAATATCTCTGGAGCTACATATGGAAGAACACTATAAATTTTGGTTGAAACTTCTAATTGTGATACTGGCCTGCACATTCCAAAATCTGTAAAGTATGGGTTGAATTTATTATAACAAACTATATTACCGAGGTGAAAATCCTTATACACCAGTCTCTCCTTATATATTTCATTCAGGTTATTGATGATTAAGTATATGTGTGCCACCTTATCATCCCAATCAAGTTTATCAAATTTATTATTAAGTAATTTTCTAAGGCTTCCTTTTTTAGTGTAATCCATAATCATTATATAATTGTTGGTTGTAGGATCTTTGGTAATGCCATAAATTGCGATTGAAGCACTCTTCTTCCTAAGCTTTAATTGGCTTCGAACCTGTAAATGAATATGTTAATATTAATTTAGGATGACAGAATTAATGTATTCAATAAAGTATACCTCTTCTAAAAATTCAGAAGAAATATCTTCTGAATCATTCAGGCTTTTTAAGCAAACATCTTTATCAAAAGACCTATCCCATTTTTGATTCTCATTATTCCAGCGGGGAATGTAACCATCCTTCCATCTTGCTCTATAAACAGTACCAAATCCGCCTTTGGACAAATACTCGACATCTTCAAACTTTTCAAACGGAACCCACTCAAGAGTTTCGTCAGAATTACATGCTTTTAGTTGAACATTTTAAATAAATTTATCCACTACTTCATTACCACTTGTCCAGGTTTTAAAATCTTGCTGGAATCGTTTAGTACAACAAGGACTACACCATTCACTGCTATTGCATTGCTGTCCACATTCTTTACATGTTCTAAATTTAAAACGAATATGTCATTTTAAATGGACTATAATGCATGTCCATAAATAAATAATTTTATACTTACTCTCTATTTTTTAATTTGGACATAACTTAACGTATATATGCTATTCGAAACATCTAATAAGCTATATCATACTTACGGTCTATTAATTTAATGTGAATATAAATGCATTGAAACAAATTTAAGATTGCTTGATATAAACTATTAAACTTAATACATACTCCCTGTCGATTCAAATAGGTTAGAAAACATTAAATTTAACTATTATTAACCTCATAACCTTTATGCTTACCATCTAAAAATTTTTAAGCAAATGATTAACTGTAATTAAAATATCTAATGCTAGTAAACTTTATTGTTAAATGGTACTCACTAACTAATAAAACTATTGATTAAGCAATTATCAAATGCTATAGCCAAATAATGTAAGATACGCAAACATACTAACTAGTAATTTAATACAACATTGGTGAGAAAATAACTTATTTATTTAGTGTAAGCCTAATTTATACTCACTCTCTATTGTATGTTGCAGACATGAAAATCTTAATAAAAATACTTTCTTTTTTATTATGAACACAATAAACTTGATACCCACAAGCTATAGAAAGAGTTATTCAAAATTTTGTAGAATTTAACTATTTTTAATGTGTAACTTACATTCTAATAGTTTAATTATTATAATAGTGTTATTTATCCCTTAATTGGTAGAGATTTGCAGGCAAATTTGTCTGCATAATTGCTATAAATATATCTCTGATTTACTTTTTTAATTATTTAAAATATTTAAATAAAATTTAATATGATAAAATTTGAAAATAAGGATTATATTTTTGCAATATTTGTATTTATATTATAAGACAAAAATTTTAGTTTGCTTATAAGCT